AATTTGCTGATCATCACTGTGATCTGATAGCTGCACAAGCACCTTTACAATGCAACATTGGTCAGCTCACATCAACCCATGTGACCTCAATTAAAAACTACTAAGGGACATTTTTGCAAAGGGCTGAATTTTTGAATATTGAAATTGAGAAGTGTATAACAAAGTTCAGCGATACACCAATTGAGCAAAGGCCCAATGATGCTGCTTCATCTCTTGCTGTTTGTGATGTCAACTATTTCCCAGCCATCCACAGAATTCTCACACTATTCTTTACAACACCTGTCGGAAGCGTATAATGTGAACGTTCTTTTTCTGCACTTAGGCGGGTAAAGTTATGGACACGATCTAGCATGCCTCAAGACAGACTCACCGCTCTTGCCATGTTACTTGTACACCGAGGCACAGACATCATTCCTTATCCAAAAGTGATTTATTCAAAGAAAGATAACTGGAGATAAATGTATATGCTATTGCCACAAAGTTGTAAACATAAACTGTGTATTGTACAACTATCAATTGTATTAATCAGTCCTGCACATTAATGTAAAACAGTTGATTATATATGAAGATAGAACAACAGTGTGTATAAAGTTCATACTGTAATATCCCGTGTTTTGTTTATATTCATAAAATAAAGATGATAGACTTATGGCGCAACTGCACACCTATACGCCCATATACATTTATACGCAACTTAAAAAAATACATTTGCTGCCCCCCTAGTGAAAAAAGCTAGCTACGGCCCTGAAAGGTATAATATTCATCATAAAAATATTCAATGAAAATAATGTACAATACTCGTATGTGATGACAATACACTGCAACACACGAGGTACCAATATATCGGCGTTGTCAATAACACTAAATGCATGTGTCTGATTTTCCGACGGTTAATAGATAGCATAAAACTAGTAATACACATTTCAAGTAAATATTGGTTCCTACCATGATAATATCTACTGCTATTTACTATTATAGTGTGTGGTATCTAACACGGATACCAAAACAAACGTATTTGACGTTCATGTCCCAAAAAACTCGTCGCCATATTTCGTCTACAAGCCAAAATACCTATCCAAAACATGCCAATAGGCGGCGCTATAACTAAAAGGGCTGTAATATGTGTTTTTGGCTGTAACATTATGGCCCTTTAA